GTCTCCTATGATTCACTCCCCACCACCCTCTCCTTGTCGTCTGGCACTGCATAGCTTATATCCCAGTGGGAGTTTTGTTTCACCCACTTGCAGTGATCTGTGTGGATGTTGTGTCTTACAACCCTATTCAATTTGCACACCAGAATTTCCATACTGGTCAAAACATGGGCTACCAGCTTCTGAATGTCAGGGCTTTTCAGGTGTCCCCACCCACTAAGGGGCTCTACGAACATGGCAAGGACAGAGAATGAGTTGATTGAAACCTCATTGCCCCAAATCCCCAGGAGAAGTAAGCTGGCTTCCCCCAGAGCTGATGGCTGTACTCCACCCTTCTGGCCATCAGCAGGGCACATGCTCTACTAAAATCCCAAGATGAACTTTGACCACTCCCTCATTCCGCTGAGGTTTAGGACACTGATCAGACAAAGGATGGTTGGAGAGCTCTGGCCTTCTGCCAGCTGGCTTTAGCCACAGAGAAAGCTTAACTACAGAAGTCGTGCAGACTTTCAAGAAGAAAAGCAACAACACATTGTCAGAGACGGAAACAAATAGCTTTCAAAAGGCTCAAAGAAGGCAGATCAGCAGTCACAAGCTAGCAAACACTATCAGGACTGCACTAAGGACTGATCAAAACTAACAGAAGTCACAGGAAGTACTTGAACCAAAAGCTAAAAGGAAAAAAGAAATCCCTTCGGCAGCCCCTTTCCTGGGAGTCTGCCACATCCCACTGCAGCTAATCCTCACACACCACACGGGGGGCTGCCCACCACACACTGTCTCTCTGTTTGGGCACACAGAAGCCCTCCAACCAGAAGCACATGCTATTCTTCCACCTGGCCTGTACAGCTCAGCAGGTAGATCCCTAGGGTCTAACAAAATAAAGAGGACAGCCAGAACCCATGTCTGCAGCCATTAGATTTAGCAGCTTCTGTTGGCAGCACCCCAGAAAATCCCTTTCACCTCTACTGCCATCTAGTGCAATTAAGAGAAAATAAAAATCCATAAATGCAAGCACCTGCGAGCAGCATTAACCACAAATTATCAGCACGGCTTTCCATCTCCAAATGAACCCAGCTTTTTCCTAGCACTCTCCATGTGCACAGTGGAAGCCTTAAGCACTGCTTTAGGTGATAATAAAGCATACATGGATCTGAGTTGAAATTAAGGTCAGAGCACCTGTTTAAGGAACAATGCAGAAGCCTAAGCTAGATCTCCACAGACCAGATTTGTCATTTGCGCTTTCCTCAGTCAGCCACACCAGTGCTGAACCAGTAATGTTACCACTACCTCCACAGCCAGACACACAGCCCAAGGGAAAGCAGCAAGGGAGAATATACAGAATGCTCAGGTAGAAGCAGTGAATAAGCCTTCTATCTTAGTATCACTGCTATTGAGTTAATGGATTTTAGGTATCCAAACCACCACCACCACAACCCCAGTAACCAGAGCATGAGAACAACTTGCTCCATCCTTCCAGGAGCACTGTGTAACATCTCACTCGTGCTGCTGCGTTGACTATGCATTATGAGCGTGCAAGGGGTCAGATTTTGTTACTCTACATTATTGTTAAAGGAAAGTGAAGTGTTTTGTCTTCTTGTTGAGATGCTTTTAGAGACCAGATTTATAATTCATCCAAACAAAGCATCAGACTTAAATTCTGGGCAGGTTAATGCCAGCCTGTCACACTCTGGATGAGCAATGCCCTTATCTTGTCCATATAGTTCACATATCACATATAGAGAACTGGAGTGGAAAAACCCTGAGAGACAGAAGAAAATTAGAGTAGAATTAAAATGCGTTTACAGTCAGGAAAGCAAATAAAAAGTCATATTACTCAACAGCTAAGCTGAAAAAGCAAATTGATTTTTTGGTTCACTGACAGAACAAAAAAAGAATTGTTTTTACTCAAAGCAGCTTAGTGTTACTTTACCCTTATTTAAACAAAGGTAGATCCTTTTGAAATTAAAAGTCTCTGCAAGTGAAGAGTAAAGACTGTGCTTCTAATGGCTGTTTTTTTCTTTCTTCCCAAACCACAACAAAAAATAAGTTTGCTCCTCTTTTACCAAAGCAGCTTGCACACATTTTCCCCTCTGTCTCTGTAGATCTCATCTCTATACACATCCATAGGTGCCTGCCTATCTTTCACAATTTTTCCTCATGCTGGCACCTCAGAGTTAACACCACCCATTAGCTCCCCATTCACATTGCCCTGACAGCACCTTGATGCTGAAGAGCAGAGACCGCTACTGGTTAATCAATGTTACCAATCCGCCAAGAGATCAGAAAGTTAAGCAGTATTTATTGACTTGCACACATCAATCCATAACCTTTAGCAAACAAAGAGGAAGAAAGCATCAATCCCACTCCTGCCCAAAAAGTATACACGTATTTGGCTGTATCTACTTACTAAGGACAAAGTATATCCATAGTTTTCAGAGTTCCAAAAGGTGCCTAAGATTTAGAAAACAATTATTAAATATTTGTATTTGTTGTAATTTAAAGTAAAACATTTTTGTAAATTGGAAAAAGCCAATTCATTAACAAAGTTCAGATGACAAAGCTAAGCTATTAGCCTATGTTTTAAAATGACATTTAATTTGAGCATGAGCTTAGAATTCTTCCTTTGATAACTTTGTAGGCATAGCACAGAACAGCTATTTCACATAGAAACTACTCAACATCCTTCCAAAGCTGCTATAAATCAAACAGACCAAAAACCTCTACTCCAGTGACTCTCTTTTCTATCACAATTTGCCTGCAGTGTACTCTAATATCTCTAATATATATAAATATGTATCCATTGTACAACAAAACGTAATGAAGCTCATGTGTTTGTGTTCAATCAGTGCTCCCACCTCACAGGACCAAATTCTATTTTCAATAATGTTAATTACTTTTCTTAACAGCCCTCCTCCATTCACAGCTCTCATTTCATGACATTGCACAGACTTCTGCTAGGGTAACCCATGATTGTGAGAGAGATTAATGCAACAAAACTATTTCAAGTTGATTGGTTTATTATCTACCACAGGATCAGTTCACTTCTTAAATTGCACGCGTTTACGGAACACCAGTAACAAACTAATTGTTTCGTATACTTCCAGTTAAACCTCTTAATAGCTCATGAGCACATCATGGTCTGGGTCCCTCACTCCCCACCAACAGGTCTCTTAGTGAGGAATGATGTAGCACTGCACCTGACATTAACATATTTCTGTAGCTGATAATTAGCAATGAGGAAAAAAAAAAAAAACAAGCCCCACTCCAACCAACCAAAGACATGCTGCTGATTTCAGTGCAGCCTTTGTTTCCTTTCTTGTCTGGTATTAAGGTTACCTTAAATCTGAGTTACCAGAGTTTGTTTTCAGAGCTCCACCCCTGCTCTCATACATGCTGGCTCAGCATCTGATCTGTCCAAACCAAGTGGGAGGGAGTTTAGACTGATGTAATAAGAACCCAGGAGTGTGGAGTAGACAGGTTTCAGTTTAGGTCTGACACAACAGTGTATAGTTTCTTAAGAAAAACAGCTCATCTACGAAGAGCTAGTTGTGCATTTTGCAGCGCATAACCATCCAACATCTACTTTTTTCCAAGGGGCAATGAGCTGAAGATAACAAGGCGGATTACAAACTATCAGCAAAACTTTCTTTGCGCAGCCCCACATCCAGTAACAACCAATACATTCTGCTTTGTTTCCTTTTACACCATCCAATCAACAGCTGCCAGCACCTGGTCACCAACATCCAGGCCCAAGGCCCAGAGCAATCTAATGCACTGTTGAACATTACTTGTATCTGTCTTACTGCATCTCGTGCGTAAGTCTACCAGTGGGAAAAGCAAATGCCTTACTACAGCGGTCAATATCATTTCTAATTGAAATCAGCAAAAGACCACAGCATTGAATGAGAATGTTAGGTACTGATGCACACCTCCAACAAGTTCAGTAGGCTTCACAAATGTAGTATTCTTGCCTCCATATGCATCTTTCATCATATTTTCAAGAATGATTATACAGAATGCTTAATATTTCTGAATTAAGTAAAATGAGTCTCCTGTGGCTGGAGATGCTTATTATTCTAGGTACTTTATGTTGTTAGGCTAATTTTATTTAAATCACTATCCACTGCCTGACGCCCTTAATACATTTCATTGATATGCCTTCAGGGTTTTATTTTACCCTAAAATCAACTTTGCTGAAGCAGTATATAAACTCCCTTTCGATTTACCTTTGATTTTACCATTACTAATTCTTCAGATATAGTACATTCCCAATAATAGTAACACAGAGACACTTTTTATTCTATCAGTTCATTTGAGTTCAAACCAAGTAGCAAGGAAGAGCTCACAGCAGCACGCTGGGATTCCACAGGCCCTACAGCCCAGCCTCCCTCCAGCACAGCTGCACAAACCAGACCATAAGCACCTGCACATTCAGCAGGGCCAGCTGGTTGATCCCAGATTAAGGATGATTCCCCATGCTCCAGAAACCTTCTCATATTTTAGATATTAAGTAGTGCTGTTAACGGTTCCTTTTCCAGCCTTGCCATTCTTACGTTTTTACCTCTTGGTTTTGCAAGATGCATTGCAATGAGCAACAACCATATTGCTCAGAAAGGGGACAAGCATGAACTCCATAGGAGGCACAGCACTGTGAACGAACAGGAAACTTTGCTGCAGCTTTACTGCCTTCAACACATCACTGGCGTAATTAAAGCCTCAACACAAGGCTTGGTTTTCACTATAGGCAGTAAAAGACAAAACCAGCATTTCGTGCATCAGCCAACTAGTTCATTCAAAGCTTTTCTAGAAGCCCTCCACAGAACAGCACTCGATTCCTTTGACTTCTGTCACGTGTTTAAGATAATAAATATTTGTCACCCAAAACAGCACCCAAGGGAAAAATCACACACATTAGCAGTAAAGCTAGGCAGCAGCAGATACAGTTGCTTTAAACCCAAAAAAGGTAGTAGCCACAATCCAGTAATAAAGTAATCACTTACCCCTTTCTGAGGATGAGAGGTCACAAAACGTTCCAAAGGAGGCAATCCCAAGCATAATGCTTCCCTTGTGGCTGCCAGCCCTTAAATGAGGTTAGGGAGGGATAGAATTGCTTCCACCTGTGCTCCCAGAGCTGGCTACGCCTCTTCACCAGGTGCTCAATCACTGCTTTAGGCCATGACCTAACAGTTCCCATACACTAGCAAAGCAAAGTTTTTAATGCAGGGCAAAAATAACATCAAGACTAGTTACTAGTTTTTCAGTAACTGTATGATGAAGTAATTAGGATAGGATTTGAAGTGCCTTCAGCAAACTCCTTTTAAAGAAAAATCAAGATAGTGAATTATGGTAGTCATTATATACAACCATTAGTAAATATTCTCAACTAACACAGTAACTAGAAAAAGAATTCCTAAAATAAACACTTCAATTTCTCCCATAATTACAGGAAATGAAAACATATTTGGTAATATGAAAATTAATTATTTGTCTACACTGATAAACTTGCAGCTATGATTTTTTTCTAATTAATGAAACCTTGCCTCAAGAATCAAACTCATTTTTTAATTTTTATTCACTCATTATATTAACAAGATCTTATTCCAGAATTCAAGTATTTTTCTGCTAGTAGTGTGTAACTCCGCATATATGGATGGCAATGCTGCACACCACTTTGTAAAGCTGCCATAGCTTTAAAGGCATCATTTATAACATCCAAATATGTCAGATCTGGAATAAAACTGACATTAAGCTGCATGGTTTCATTGCACATCCAACCCAGCAGCACATTAACAAAGACACGTAAAGAAGACCTCTGAGGACTAAAATGCTGTTCTATCGAGGTGATGGTAATTCAAAGCCACTGGAGATATCAGTAACATGACACAAACCAACATGTCATGCCTAAGATGCTGGTGCTCCACCAGCTTCAGCTCATATCAGCCAAAATTCCAGCTCTGTAGCAGCAAGCCTGCACTTTGTCCCAACTTAATCCAGTTTGTGCAACACTAAAAAAGAGGTATGATTTTTAAAAAGCTGCCAGTAGACTACAGGGTGTTTTCTACTCTGCTTCAGTCCTTAATGCTACCTTCATTCAAGAGAACGAACCAAGCATATTGCAAAATTAATTCCCTGAAGCCCTTTTGATTTGGAATTGTTTTTAAGCCAGCATGTCTTGTAAGTGTCTTAGACAGCAAGATAAACTAGCTACAGCATCTTGCGATAACATCACATACAACAAACACACTGTCATCATAACCCCGAGGATTTCTTTATCTCTTATATGATTTGTATATTTTGTCCTTGCAAGTGTAAATTATCTTCTTTGCTCCATTTTTTTTCCTTTTGCAACTCTGTTATCACTGCAAGGTCACCACTGTATTATCAGCCACCATTCAGAGAATGCCAGTTGGCCAATAAAGCACCCAATGAAGCCTTCCATCCATCCATCTAACGACCGTGGGGTGACTGGGAAAGGAATTCTGACATTTGAAAACATAATTCAATGTCAAACTGGCTCATATGCCACTGCAACTCAGACTTGTAGCTCAGATGTGTACTGTACCATAACTACAGCTTTAGATGTAATCACTGTTTTCATCAGGTAGCTAAGAACTCATTCATCCCATCATGCAAATTTTAATCAAGCATGTCACTGAAACATCAGATCTGGCTAGAAGTAATCCGAAGCAGAGATTTCAGCTGGTGTTTTCAAAGACACACAAACAGGACTGCAGTTTCATTTGGAAAACAATGGCCTGCATCCCTAGCTCTAAACACATGCCTGCACACACAGATCCGTGGTGACAGTCTCCATGCTGTCATCCCTTAACAGCTGCTCCTTCCAAATGAAGTACGTGGAGGCTTAGCTTAAGGTTGGAAACCTCGAGCTCAGCCTCTACTGTTTCTTTACAACAGAGATAAGCTAAACCCCAGGAATAAACTTGAACACGTTAAATGTGCTAGAAAAACATGTACCCAAATAATTATAATACATCACTAATAAGGATTAAAAATATTAATAAAATTACATGCAGACATTTCAGTCAATTGTTGGTATCTTTCCAGCTAATTAATACTTGGCACTGCATAAATACTCAAGACTGCATTTTACTCCATTATATTTGTATAAGACAGCTTCCAGAATCATTTTAGGTAGCTACTAATGAGAAATTATTCTTGCCTGAGTAGAGCATTGGACTAAGCTGAAATACAAGGTTTAGTAGCAAAATTAAATTTACCCACAATTGCTAAGGAAATTAATTTCACTCTAGGATTTTGATCCAGCCCCATACCTACTATGAATGAACAAGCTTCTCCAAATATCCGAGCCTTGCTATACACATCAATCCTCATCTGTTGGCAAGACAATATCCTATAGCTGGGATAAGCCTGAAGAATCTATCTACATGTTGTGTAAGTCTTTCTGGTGTGCCTTTCCCTCACAGCAGAAAGTCATTTTTCTTCAAGAGCTAAATATGAACATGTGTCTTGTCTGTAGATCAAACACCACAATGAGTTTGCCTGGCTCCTCCCTCTCTCAGTGGCTGCCATAGTAGCCCTTGCTCTGGCACACACATTTTCCAGAAGTGACAACTGGTGCTTATTTAGCTTTGGAATTCTGGCTGCATGGAATCATTCATTTGGACAGTCTATAATGCCAGCCTCCAAAATGCCAGCCAGACACTGTAGCATAGATGCTAAAAGCCCTTCTACCCATACTAAAACACTGGCATCTCCACATTGGAGTTTATATAGTCATTTATACTTATACAAAGCACATATGCACCCTGCTGTAGATGTGCTTAGGATAGTTGCAGAAGTATCTGACCTGTCAGATGGGAATAATTGTCTGCTGACCCTAAATTTTCATCACTCCAGAGTTCTGGGATATTATCAGTTTCTATACCCAGGAATCAACCGGTTCCCATTTGGGATTTCATCCCATCTTTTTCCCAGTTACACTGCACATTATCCTCTTGCATTGTCAAAAGTGAAATGAACCATCTTCAGAGCTCTACCAAATTCACACTCTACACAGAAGAGTGGTAACCAACTCTTGTCTTATAGAAACAGTAACTTACTGTAACAGTAGGATTTCTGAAAGAAACAGTTTCAGCTGATGATTGTACCTTCTCCACCAAAAATTAAACCATAACATTTAAGTCATGTTGTCCTTAGTGGCCATTCAAGATGCCAAAGCAATCTTCCATGGTGCAAGAGAACAATCATTCCTTTGCAAAGTAATAAAACTTTTCTATATCCTTCCTAGGACAACAGGAATTTTCTGTTCCCGCCAAGTCCGGAGGATGACAGTACTAGGCAGGCTATCATCACACTGTCAGAAATTCTTCAAGCTGCTTTCTGCTGCTACTACTTCAGCCCAGTTTTTAATAACCACAGCTCACCCTGCTCCCTGCCAAAGTCTTCCCCCCTGTTGGAACACAGTCACTGCCGACTGGCAGGACTGCTTCAAGGAGAAAGGCTCTGCTGTATGTCTGAAGTGTATTTTTTCTCCTCCCTCAAAGAGCAAATGCCATTCAGTGACAGTTCCCTGTCAGCTAGGCGTGACTGGCAGGTTGCTTATATTTCTTTTGAGAACAGGACTTGCAAATACCCACTTAAAACTTCTAAGAAAGCACAAGCCAAGAGTCTTAGCAGTTCTTCAAGAGGACAATATGAGGTTAACTGTTCCATTAACATGCAATAGTAAAATAGATTTACATAAATAGAAGCGCTTTGATTTTAAGCAGCATTCTTTCTCCTCAAATCATTCCATGGCAGAGTCCTGACCTTAGTCAAGCAACCTTTGAACTAACAGCTTAAGAAACCTTTCACACTCAACTTCCAAGACTGTGCTGGTAGAGCCCTCCCGGCAGAACACAGAGTATATACTAGTCAGACTTCTATGTATATCAGTGTCAGTTTTATATACACCAGGCCTTTATTATTTACCACAGCCAGCCTTTTCCTCGTTGACACAGGAGTTATCTCACTTGAGATCTTGCTTAGATTTCACTTGAAACCAAAGCGGAGGGTGCACAGAGCATGCTTTGCACAGCACTCGCACAGAGCCCCTGCAGGGACTTTCTCATTGCAGGTGTTCACCTTGCATCAACATTTGTAACAGAAAGGAGAGGAAAACAAAAATGAAACAAAGAAAACAAACAAACCAACCTACCATATGGACAGCTTGTCTCAAAATTCAGGAGATAAGGCCCCGGTCTTGCAAGATGCATCCTTACAAGTATTTCTTATTCGCATAAACAATCCCCAGTGAACTCAGCAAAAGAGCAAAGCGATACGTTAGCCAAGCGTCTGCAACCTGCCAGGATACGCCAAACGCTACAGTGCATCAGCCTATACACGTATCCCTGAACAAATGTGAATACTTCCAGCACTGAACACAGTTTTAAGAACAGTATAAGAAATTAACAAACAACAGCACTCCTTGCAAAACTTGAAGAATCTCTACAGAATTTTACCGATCTACACCTTTGTACAAATGGTGGAAGACGCATCTCCCCAAGAACAGCAGCAGCACCTCACTGCCTGTCCACCATCTTGTTGGGAACAGAAATCCCCACACATGAGAATGCTGAAATCTTTGGGAAAACCTGCATTCATGACGAAAAGCTCACATATTCAAAAGCTTGTCGCTTTTGCCAACCACACCTATAGGCCCACTACCTCTCCCTACAAAACCTTCTTTGCCGTTAATCAGATTGGAACTTGGAACAAATAAAAAATAAAATAATAATAATAATAAAAAAACCCCACAGGTTATCAGTCTGAAATTATGACCCTTCTCAGAGGGATCAGACATACCTTAGCTCAGCCTGCACATTCCAGACAACACACCACCTCTGGAGCTGACGTAATGCCGGCAGCCATCTTGTTGACCCACAGCCACACTGACGTAATGCCGGCAGCCATCTTGTTGACCCACAGCCACATTGACGTAATGCCGGCAGCCATCTTGTTGACCCACAGCCACACTGACGTAATGCCGGCAGCCATCTGGACTCCCCGCAAAACACAAAGCATCCATCTGAGGCAGCTTAATGGCTGCTGCAAATGGTTGAAGGCTCTGTTGCAGAGCTGAGGAGGAGCATCTCGATGCAGACAGACCCCCAGAGCACTGGAGGAAGGTGGCTCACCCACTCTAGGCACAGGTCCACTGCTGCCC